ACTTCGTCTCAGCGCCTTTGAGGGACTGTCAACTGTTGTGCAACAACCTGCGGGCCAAAATGGTGAATACCAGGCGAAACACCGCCCTCAGTGGCGATGTCCCTCAGGTAGTGGTTGGCAAACACCATGTTCGATTTCCAAAAGCAGCCCTCCATTATCGTCCTGATAGAGCAGTTCCCATGTAGAGCGAGTGTTGACGCCAGAGCTCTAACTTCGTGTGGGTTGGATGCTCTTGGAGGTTCCAGTCCTGCTGCTTTGTAGGCCCGTAGGATGACAGTTCTGATCCAGATCGATATCGTAGTGCGCGAGACCTCCGTCTGCGTCGCTGTCGATATCGGGACGAAAAGACACTTGAATTTCTGTCTCCTGGTCCTGGATCGTTGTAGGTAGATTTTCAATGCTCTGACTGGGCACAAGGAGAGGTCCTGCGTATCCTGTGGTCCAAGGACTGTCGATAGAGCTGGGACGTGGAATAGTCTGTCCGGTTGAGATGGCAGTTGTTTCTTTGCGATGAAGTCCCATCTGAGTCTCATATGCACGGAGTTTTGATTCTCATCAAATCGTGTTCTCTCGAAGTCCAGAGCATGTATTTCCGACATCCGTGCTGCGTCAAGAACTCGAAGGATGTCCTGTCCAATGGTTTGTAGACGTCACTGGTGAGATGTCGGAGCACTACGTTGAGGTCCCACGCCGGAGCTTTAAATCTCTGCTGTTGGTCCTCCAATTTAAAAGAACGAAGTAGGGCCAGTAACTCTGGTACTTTCGTCAGTTTTGCACCCGTCCTCATAGTGATGACTGAGCTCAATGCCGCCAGGTATGTTGAGAGCGTAGACCCTTTTAACCGCCTCGTCTGTCGTAGATGACAAAGGTAGTCCGCCACTTGAGGGTGTGTCGCCTTAATGGCTGTAAAGCCATTCCTCGCAGCATAGGCCTCAAACCGGAGCCACTTGTCGTCGTACAATGTGCGTGTAGACTTGCGTAGGGCTAGTGTGACTGCCTTCGCTGCCCCGGCGGAATACCCTCTCTTGTTCAAGCACGCCTTGATACAGTCCACACGTGTAGCCGGAACACCTCTGGGTTGCCGTGCGCCTGCTTTGTGTGAGGATGTACTAGTAGATTCGTCCACTCTGGTAGTTGCAGTTGGGGTTGTCCTAATTCTTGTATGAGAATGGGGAACCACACTCTCGCTGGCCAGTAAGGCGCGACCAAAATCAGTTGTAGGTCCTTCGTCTGGCTGATTTTCTGCAACACCCTCGGTATTAGTGCTGGCGGTGGAAACACGTAAGCGTTGAGGCCTTCCCAGGATATGCTGAGAGCGTCCGTTGCCCATGCTTGTGGATCTGGTATCGGTGAGACGAATGTTATCAGTTGATTGTTGAACCTTGTGGCGAAGAGGTCTATGAGTGGTGCTCCCATTTCTTGTATGATCTGCTTGAAGAGCTCCGGATGTAACATCCATTCGGTTGGGGATGGCTGCTTTGAATGAGAGAGTGCATCTGCTATCACGTTCTTGGCCCCTGGAATGTGTCAGGCTCTTAAGTGGATGATCAGGTTGTCTGTTACGCTGAACAGTTGAAAGCAGAGGTCCAGGAGGTTCGTCGATCTCGTCGATCCTTGCTTGTTGATGTAGAACGCCACCGTGGAGTTGTCTGTATGCACCATCAGATGAGCATTCTCCAGAATGTTTGTCCAGTGGAGTATGGCGTTGAGTACTGCTTTCATTTCCAGCATGTTGATGTGCAGATTCGTCTCCTCCTTGGTCCATCTCCCAGCGAACACTTCGTCGTCAAGGTATGCTCCCCAACCTTGGAGTGATGCGTCCACGTAGAGATGCGTCGTACTCTCCGGCTCTGCTAAATAGGTGCCTCCGCAAACATTCGATCTCTGGGTCCACCATAGGAGATATGGGCGCAGGGCATCCGGTAGTCCGAAGGGTTCCGGATCGTCCAGATGAGCATTGACGAAGACCTGTAGTGGGCGTAGTTGTAGTCTCCCTCTGGCTGTCATGCCTTGTGCTGACGTGAGGAGACCCAACAGACTCTGCCATTGTCGTAGTGGCCACGGAGAGAGTAGAGCTTGCGAGATCGTCTGTTGTATCTTGAGCCATCAGTCCCTACGGTACCATTATGAGGTTCTGCGTTGTGATGAACCGGATTCCTAGGAACTGCAGGTCCTGTGTAGGTTCTAGGTCCGACTTGAGGAGATTCACTAGCCACCCCAGTTGTGTAAGCAGTCTGATGGTGAAGTCCAGTTGTAGTCTGAGATGCTTGGGATCTTGATGTACTTGAATCCTGTCGTCTAGGTAGAAAGCACTGCGTAAACCTCGATGATGTAGGTACGTGACTATGGGCTTCGTTACCCTTGTAAACAACCAGGGGGCCGATGATATTCCAAATGGCAGGACCTTCCATTGGTAGTGTCGTCCGTCCAGTATAAACCTCAGGTACTGCAGGTTCTGTGTAGGTTCTAGGTCTGACTTGAGGAGATTCACTAGCCACCCCAGTTGTGTAAGCAGTCTGATGGTGAAGTCCAGTTGTAGTCTGAGATGCTTGGGATCTTGATGTACTTGAATCCTGTCGTCTAGGTAGAAAGCACTGCGTAAACCTCGATGATGTAGGTACGTGACTATGGGCTTCGTTACCCTTGTAAACAACCAGGGGGCCGATGATATTCCAAATGGCAGGACCTTCCATTGGTAGTGTCGTCCGTCCAGTATAAACCTCAGGTACTTCCTTGAGTCGGGATGTACAGGAATATGCAGATAGGCGTCCTGTAGATCTATGCTGGCCATGTAGTCCATCGGACGAACGAGATGTAGGAGTTGAGGTAGATGTATCATGCTGAACTTTGGAGGTCTGCGTAGATAATCTCTGTTGAAGGCCCTCATGTTGTAGATGAGACGAAACTTCTCCTTGGAGTTTTTCTTGGGTACTAGGAAAACTGGGGAGTAGAATCCTGGTGAGAGCTGGTCCTGGTCCACCACTTCTATGGCTTCCTTCTCTAGTAGAGATGTGACCGCTTCTCTTAACCTTTCTGTGGAGTGGGCCGTGAAGTTGAACTTGTGCAGTTCGGCTATCAACGGTGGCGGGGCTTGAAGTTGTATGCGATATCCGTCTCGTAGGATGATGGATAGAAATGGATCTTGCAGGATTCCCCAGTTTTCCCAGTAGAGCTGTAGATGTTCACCCACTTGTGAAGGTTGTACAGGAACGGCTGGGGGTGGAAGACTCCAGTCGTTCCGAACCCCTCCTTCATCGTTTCTGATCCTTGGCGCCTCTGGGTGCCCTGCCTCGCCACGGTCGTCCTCTAAGGTTGCCGGCTATCTCTTGAGCCTTCATGAAGGGGTCCATATTGTGTAGGGAGAACTTCTTAGCGTTGAATTGTGGTGGATTCGGTGCCTGGGATCTCGTTGCCTTCTTGAAGGCTGTGTCCAAGTTCTCTGGAACTTCCGAGATGGGATCAATTGGCGGTAGAGTGATCGTGTCGACGTCCTCGTCCTTCATGAGATACGTGAGGGCTGAGTTCACTTCCTTGGAAGGTGACGCTAATTCCAGACCGTTGGCCATCCAATATCTTATCTCTGCATCTGAGAAAATGATACCGCCTTCCTCCTCTGTGTCAGGGATGCTGATGTGGGATTGTTGATCATCCTCCACTGGGGATCGGGGGTGGAGACCTGTGCGGAGACCTGCGCGGAGACCTGCGTGGAGACCTTCGTGGAGACCTGCGTGGAGATGAGCCAGGTGAGCTGCGTCTGTAGGACAACTGCCGTGGAGACCTGCGTGAAGGCGAGCGTGCCTTGGTCCGTGAATGCCTCGATGAGGATGTTGATGACGTCCTTGAGGTTGCCTCTGAAGACCTCCGTGAGTGCCTTCGCGAAGGCTGTTCATCTGCGTTGTCAGTAGAAGGCCTCTCAGATGTGTCGTCGCAGAGGGTCCTCTGAGCAGGTCACGGTCCTCTCTGTGGGTGGCGTCCAGGGGTGGGTGTCGATCTCTTTCCTGCTCGAAGCGTCTCTCCATCATCTCCTTTATCTGTTGAGAAAATTGCTGCATAAAGGCCCAAGGGTAGAAAGTCTGCGGTGATAGATGCGCTGCCCTCTCTGCGTTGGTGGTGATCTGGTCCAGGGATCTCTCATCTGCCCTCAGTGAAGATACCTCAGACTGCGTTGATAACTGTGCTGAAGTCACCGTTGCTGAGGCCTGCTTCTTCTTTGGGTGATGTACCGTCGGGATGATGAGTGGCAGCTCATCATAGAGACCTCTCTCTTCCATAGGGACAATCTCAGTGTTCATAACACTTTGTGTATTGTTATTAATCATTCAGAAACAAAACCATGCAATATTGATCTAGTTCACTGCTTATTAGAAATTCTGACATTGTTTAAAGGGAGATACTCACAATTTCAGCATATCATAATTCTGAGCATTTTTACTACCTGTGTATATTTCAAAACATTGATATCTATAAAAATGTAAAAGATCTGTGTATTTAAAAAATATACTGACCTTTGAACTCCTTGTAAAATATACATTTAGGCGATTCACTAATTGATGAGAACCAAGACTGTTTTAAGTTATCACCTAGCCTTAGCTTGAATAGATACACGGAATATTCCACATTTCCAATTTCTTGGCTTAGCCAAGCATAACCAAATCCATATTGAAACAAGATGTGTCTAACTTTGGTTACCCAGGTATTATAGCCTAAGCTATCTGGTGATCTGAACATGTAATACAAATTTGTATTTTGAAGTTTTCAGAAATTGATTTGATTTGAGTTTTTACTATGATCATAGTTTCATATTAGGTCCTGAATCTATTATAACCTCTGATGAAAACTAACAAACACTGTAAATAAATACTCTGTTATACCATTAGTGTCAATATGATGTATATATTATGTTCTCATAAAAATGCAATACAAATTTCATGCTAATCAACATTAAACCTCAATCAGTTTTCTTTCATTTCTTTTTTATCAAAGGTCCTTAAAACTTGATGTAATGCATGCTACAGTCCACAACTGATTAATGCTGCCCAGTTCAGCAAGAGAGACTGTAGAATCAAACAGGTGATTCTCTTTAACCCTTCTGATCAATCTTTCTACATGAATCCTAAGGGATGCAATGGACTGTGTCTCCCATACTTCACTAGGCGTGAACTGTCCAGAGGAATACAGAAATGGAGGAATGTTCAGACCAACACCTTTCTCACTCAGTATACTGGCAATAGTAAACACTTGTCAGTCATAACACTGTCCCCAGGTTCCAGCAAATCTAGAATGCCAGACAGTTTAGTAATTTCAACATCTGACATGACACCTGTGTACAAATTAGATACAAAGGTAATAGCACCATTTGGGGCAATGCCAATCGGACCTTTCAGAGTGCAAGAGCTCTTGTAATGGGAGTAAAACATGGAATTTAACACCAAAGCTGAGGGAATTTAGATCCTGCGCTCAGTACAATCTAAAATGACTCTTGTAGATAAGTAAGTTATCTGAAACTCAGGAGGCATGTGTCTGTCTACTGTCACTCTGGAAGGCCAGATAGGAACTGATCCAAGAACAAAATAGAGAAAATCTGCCCAGGTGATAATTTTTCGACTAACAGTCGAAATATGGCAGTTAAAACGAACAGCAAGATCCTGTTCTGGTAAACCAAGCCTAAGGCGTACAAAAAACATGAACATTTCATCAATAAGGGCCCTATTTCTTGGTCTACCTGCAAGAGAACGGGCATTTGAGCATGTATAATACATACTGCACATATTGGAGGCACTTGGTTTTACAAAGTCAAAGAACTGTTTGAACAATTTATAGCTACGAAAAGATGCGTAGTACTGGATCATATCATCATTTCCAGCAAATCTTTCCAGTCCAAATCTCTCAAGGATGAGCTGTTGTCTTAACAAATCTTTCTCCTCCTCAAGCTCTTGAATTCTTTTTAGAAGCACCTGTGAATCAAACAGACTGATATCTGTCTTGGTCTGAGCTGACAACTGGTGCTCGCCTTCTGCATGAGGGTCACAATCTGACATGGAGTTTGCATTTTCAGGACTGAACAAATAAACAATTTACTTTCAGTGGAAATCAAATGTTTGTATACTTCAACATTATTCATATCTAAATATTAAGATGAGGTATGAGGGTCATCAGTGATTATGAATCCTTCATCTCAAATTTAATTAGATTGAAATACTTTAAATTAATAGATACCACAAAAAAGAAAGACATCATTAGTTATTGAACTGAAGTAGTGCTTACTGTAATATGATCCCATTTCGTTTTAAAGTTATCAGTGGTTATGTTTCGTTTTATTGTGAATTATGATTTGGGGAATGTTTCGCTCTCGCTCTAGTGGTATCGCCATATTGTCAATGTGAAGAAGCTGAAGGATTAAAAGTATGGACCACGCTCTATCTGTTTCGACTACGCGCCATGAGGTCTGACAACGTACTTTGTGCAGTGTAATATTGAAGCGCACATAAAATCACTATGGCGGAGTCAGTGCCATCACCTTGCATGGACTGGTCACACCCAGACAGGGGTCAGGCATTTAAAGAATTTAAACAAAGGAGTGAACTTTCGTTCAAAATTAAAGGTACCAAGCCAGAAGATCAGCATAGCTACATCATCTTATGGTCTGGCAAGGAAGGTCTTAGGATGTTTAACACTTGGAATCTCTCTGAAGAAAACTTAAAAAATCCTAAGAATTTGTGGGATAAATTCTCTTCCCAAATCGAGCCTTCTGAAAATTTCAGAATTCACAGACTGGAATTTCTTCGTTACAAACAAAATGTAAGTGAGACTATTGATGACTTTATCACAAGGTGTAAGGCTAAAGCTATGAAGTGTCTGTTTAAAGACAATGATGCAATGGAGGAGAGAATGATTGAGGTTCTCATTGCTGGTGTGCCATACCCAGAGGTGCAGAAAACACTATTAGGACGTGATGAAAAGTTAACCCTCCAAGAGGCCATTGATATTGGAAGGCGACATGAGGCAAGCGTTAATCACATGTCACAGTTCAAGACAAGAATCTAGATGGCAAGATTTTGCAAACAGACGAGATTCAACGTATTTGCAGGTATTGTGGAACAAAACACTCTTTTGTATCTAGAAACAAGTGTCCAGCAAGTAACAGTAGATGCAAGATGTGTGGTAAATGTGGGCATTGGAAGGAAATGTGTCAACAGGCTAGAGGCAGACAGCAGCATAGACGTAGTAAGTCAAGGCGCAGACAACAGTCGAGGTCGAAGAGTAGTGGACGACAGTCACAAAGGGGTGATGAACACATATCACAATATAGCTACAGGAAACAGACCCATCAACAGACACAAAAACAGCATGATATAGACTGTGTGAGAGAGGATTTTGAACACTTCCATTTTGAAACTGTAACTTTTATTGATGGGGTCGCCAAGCACGATGTAAATGAGCTGAAAGTAAACTTGGATGTGAAGCTGGATAACTGTCAAGGTAATCACACCATGAAGGTCAAAGTAGACACAGGCGCGCACAAGGAAATCTACTCCCACTTCGTGTATACAGAAGGATGTTTCCAGAGTACCTTGATGCATCAGGTTTTATCAAAAATGGTACCACAAAGGCTCAACATGTCAAACTGAGTGCGTATAATGGTACTGACATACCGCAGTATGGTAGTGTCACTTTAGCATGTGGATTTAACGGTAACTGGTTGGACACTGAATTCTTTGTTGCTGATGCGCCAGGTCCTATTCTACTTGGTCTCCCTTCAACCCTTGCTCTGAATATAATTACACCAAATTGCTCCACCACTTCAGTGCACAGTGTGGATAAATCAGTACCTATCCCTAACAAGGAAACCCTGCAGAATTTATACCCTGATAGATGATTCGGAAGGCATTGGTCAGTTCCGTGGTAAGTGTCGTATAACCCTCAAAGAAGATGCTAAACCAGATACATCCAGCAAGAAAGTATCCAATTCAACTGAAAGATGAGTTGAAGGCTGAGTTGGACAGAATGGAGTCTTTGGGTGTGATTGCCAAGGTAACTGAGCCTACAGACTGGGTTTCATCACTTGCATTCAGTAGGAAGGACAATGGAAAACTCAGAGTGTGTCTTGACCCTAGTGACTTAAACCGCCTATTAAGAGAACATATCACAAGACACCGACCCTGGAAGAAATAACACACAAGTTTTGTGGAGCAACTGTGTTTAGCAAGCTAGATGCTAGGCATGGCTATTGAAGTGTCACTCTTGATGACAACTCTAGTGTACTTACAACTTTCGATACACCGTTTGGGAGGTACCGGTTTCGGCCGACTTCCTTTTGGGTTACGGATTTCTCAGGACATCTTCCAAGAGAAGATGGATATGATTCTTGAACAGTGTCCAGGAACAATTGGCATCAGTGATGATACAGCAGTGTATGGAAAGACTGTTGAGGAACATGACCAAAATCTTCATCAGCTTATGAAAGTTGCAGCAAAATATGGCCTGATTTTCAACATTGAGAAATGTGAGATCAGAAAAGAGAAAATCAAGTTTTTCGGAAATTACTATGATGCCCAGGGTGTACATCCTGATCCAATGAAGGTACAGGAGATTCGCAACTTACCTCCACCTGCAAACACTGTTGAGCTACAGCGGTTTCTTGGTATGATACAGTATATGTCGTCATTCATACCCAACTTGGCTGACTTCACAGAATCGTTGAGGATGTTGACTCACAAAGACAATGTATGGCAATCGACAGAATCGCATCAAGCTACATTTGACAACCTGAAGACTATGGTCTGTCTTGATGGTACATTAAAGTACTTCGATCCAGAGAAGTCAACGGTTGTTCAAGTGGACGCATCGATGAAAGGTCTTGGTGCTGTGATAATGCACTAGATGAACACTCCAGTGAGACTTCTCAGTCAGTCAGGTCTGATGAGGACAATCAACATGCTGATGGATGCACTGGAGACAGTGTACTGACCACTAGGAACATTGATAGTGGACAATATTGCACTAGGGGTGGTAGAATGGTCAAGAAACCAGATAGATTCATTGAGCAATATTGAAATATGATAACTGATTTCAATCTTTTAACAGTTCAGGATATTCAGCTGAAGTGTTAATCATTGTGCTTAAGGTTAAGCTCAGTTGTGGAGTATTGCTAGTGTGAAAGAGTTAGTGTGTGAGTAATGCAAGAATTTGCAGTTTAATTCCAGAAGCTTTATTTATTGTGATTTTTATGTCAGAATAACTAGTATTGTGAAACAGTGGTGAAATTAGAAAGTGATATTGTTGTAGTGGATATTTACTGATTCAAGACCATTCAGTCTCATTATAGTTTGATAATTGAACACCAGAATGTACAAGATGTGTTATTAAGTAAAGCTTACTTTCACAAATTCCTTTTCTTCAAAAGAAGGGGGATGTAATATGATCCCATTTCGTTTTAAAGTTATCAGTGGTTATGTTTCGTTTTATTGTGAATTATGATTTGGGGAATGTTTCGCTCTCGCTTTAGTGGTATCGCCATATTGTCAATGTGAAGAAGTTGAAGGATTAAAAGTATGGACCACGCTCTATCTGTTTTATATGGAGACTATTACACTTACACATCTACCAATTTGTTTCTAACTCTTAAACTGACCTTTCCCATGAAATTACTTGTTTTGGCATCAGTGGATGACGGATGGCTGGTGCTTTTCTGGACTTAATATTTTCCAAGTTCCAAGGAATATGGATGGCACAGATCCTTGCTTGAGGGTCCTCCTTACCGGTGTGTACTTGTAGTCCTCAGGCCGGAAATGCTTCGAGCAAACAATACTCTTCCTGGTGATCTAAATACAAGTGAAATTAAAATAAGTCTACTGTCATTATAGATTTTGAGCTCCAAGATTTAAAAAATATCTCTTTTTTCGAATTGTTACAATAAATAGGTGTGTATAAGTGATTCTATAATAATTCTTCCTCGGTCCATCTGCCATTGTTTCAAATAGGACCACGTAAGGCTAATGTATGCAATCGTCCTGGTAATTTAGTAACACGAAAGTATAGTTGAAAACAAATTTGACATGCAAAATGCTATCATCTTGTTGTTTGAGACAAAATATTTTTTTTGTCTTATAATCTGTTTGACAACTGCAGCTCCGATAATATATTCGTTGCTGTTTGGACGACTCAAATTCTCGAGATTTTAATTTCTAAAATCCTGAATTTTAATTGTAACCTACTGTAAAGAAGGGTCCTTCGTCCCGACAAATGGCAATTATCCATCTCCTTCGCACATCTTCAGCCTTCGGAAATGTGTGAAACGAAAGTGAATTGTTTTATCTCGCATCAGATGTAGACTGAGGTACAGAGCAGTGATCAGCTGCCATATTTGCGGGTATGACCTCGTTTTGGAATCGGTCAAAGGTCACATGCATAAATATTAAGAATCCGCTAGTACACAATATTGCACTTTTGATTTGCGATTGTACGCTTATAATTTTGTTTATATGTTTTTTCATAACCAGCAATGTATATTATATGTCATGAATAAGTGATAATTGGATAATTGTGTTTTAATTATGTTTGATTTTTTGGTTGCATGTGACCTTTAAACGCAGCCGATGGTGTGAAGTTCATGATATTATCAGTGAATCACAGTCTGGTTTCAGGGCTGATTATTCATCAATTGACCAAATTTTTTCATTGCAGTCGTTAATTAAAAAATATATTAGCAAAAAAAGAAGTAGATTTTATTGTCTCTTTGTAGATTTTGCCAAGGCTTTTGATACTCTAAGGCATGATGTTCTCCTAAAGTCACTTTATGAAGCTGGTATACGAGGTAAATTTCTTATGCTGTTAACTTCTATGTATAGTTCTTTATCAGCTTCAGTCAGGACATCTAAGGGTGTATCAAATAGTTTTTATTGTAAAATCGGTACTTGCCAAGGCTGTGTTTTGAGCCCTCAGATTTTTATTGTCTTGAAACTTGGAAAATCCACCTGTAACAATATGGTCTTGGGTGAATGTGGAAGAGTGCCTTTACAGTTTACTTATACAACCAATGCAGTGAAATACTGGTGCAGACTTCTAAACATGCCTGACTATAGATTACCAAAACAATGTTATTTTATGCTATTATCTTTAGACAGGGTAGGACGAAATTCATGGGCAACTAGAATTAAAAATATTCTTTTTCAATTTGGTTTTGGATTTCTTTGGATAAGTCAGGAAATTGGTGATCACAAAATATTTATGGAATCATTTAAACAGAGACTACATGATAATTTATTTCAATCTTGGCATTCATCTTTGGACAGTAACTGTAAATGTCTTTACTATAAGCAATTCAAATCTTCGTTAAATGTTGAGAGCTACTTGATAAATAATGATATCCCTCAATATTTAAAAACTATATATGCCCGATTTCGGTGCTGTAATCTTAAACTAGCAGTTGAAACGGGCAGATACACTGATGTTGCATATAATGAAAGGCATTGCCTGTTTTGTAAATTAAATGGTATCTTCGTTGTTGAAGATGAATGGCATGTGTTTTATATCTGTGATGCATATTCTCATATCAGAAATAAGTACATATCAAAATATTTTAGTAAATGTCCATCAATTATTAATTTTATATCAATATTACAGAGTAAAAATGTTAATATTATCAAGGATGTACAGCGTCGTGACAAAAGTATTCGCGATTTGGCAAATATAACCGTTTGGCTTTGATTGAAACGTCTCGTATTTTGTCTCTTGCTTCGCAAATACTGAACAGATTTTCATGTTTGATACGTCGCTTGTGAGCTTGATATACGATTAGTGCGCATGTGCAATGACGTCATATGTCGTCTGCTTGGAATGCAGAAATCGTCTGCTGTAAACAATGGGCTGAAAATCAAAGGAACTCAACATCAGTACGAAAGAACTAATTGTGGATTTGAAACGGAATGGAAAGAAAACTTCTGACATTGTGAAATTATTAGGTGTACCTGAATCAACAATTAGGTATGTTTGGAAAAATATTTGAATCGTGGTAATGTTGAAAACAGCCCGATTTAATTGGTAGGTCGAAAAAAGTGAGTATTCGTAGTGAACATGTTTTGTTGTTGAGGAGTGTGCGCAAGAATAGATTCAACATTCTAAGAGACATTACCCATGATTATAATGTTGGTCAACATCAACAAGTAAACAGTAGAACAATTCAAAGAGTTTTGCATCGAATGGTGTTTTTCGTCGGGTTATTAGAAAGCGCCTTGTTTTGAAGGAAGTGAACAGAAGGAAACGACTTCACTGGTGTTTGGAAAGGAGAATTTGGACAGTACAAAATCAGTGGAAAGAGGTGATATTCAGTGATGAATCGCAGGTAGTTATTGGTCAGAATGGTAGAGTTTTCGTTTGGAGAAGTGCGCATGAAGCCTATCATCCCGAATGCATGATTCACTCGAAACAGGCAAGGTTATCAGTTATGATCTGGGGTTCTTTAACTTGGTACGGTGTTGGCACCTTGTGTCGTGTTAATGGTAATATTAATGCTGTCAAGTATCGTGAAATACTTGAAGACAACCTCTGGCCCGTTATAGCTCGGCACTTCAACAACAAACCATATCGGGTTTCAAGATGACAATGCTCCGTGCATCGGGCACCCAATTATTCAGGGATACAAGCGTGACAATGCTGTAAATTGCATGACTTGGCCTGCACAGTCTCCCGATATCAATATTATTGAAAATGTATGGCTACACATCAAAAGAACACTACAGCGACGATCACAAACTATCCTGACCACTGACGAACTGTATGATGCCATCTACGATGTCTGGACAAATATCACTCTACACTATGTTAGAAACTTATATGAATCAATTCCACGACGGATAATGGCCTTCATACGCTCCAAGGGGAACTTGACCAAGTACTGAGGTGAGACATAATTCTTTTTTTGAAATATCGCTGTTTTTTTTGTTTTGTTTTTTTTAACATCTTTATTTCCACATTTTACATTGTACATGAAGAATGCATTCACATAAGTATATTCATACAGATATTCATATACAATATATCAAGTATATTCGATACACCCTCACAAATCCCCTTCATACAATGAATAAACGTCTTTGAATATCTTATCTCAGTGATTCCAATACTAATAATAGTAATTAAATACATTTATTATATGTTTTCTGACCTAGTATTTTCTGTAAATAGATAGTGGAAAGATGACCAGAAGGTAAAAAACTCACTGTTGCTGCATGTGGAGTACGCATTATATTTTGTAATTTCATAGTATTTTGATACCTCGCTTACTACATGTTTGAAACTTGGAACTTGTTCTTTTATATTTTGTGTGTATATTACCTGTTTCACAACAAGACATATTGCATTTAAAGAATTATTGTTTTTCCCTTTAAATCCAAGTAAGATGTTTTCTGGTGTAAAGTCAATGTTACCTTCAGTTACAGTCATTAACCATCTGGTCAAACTCTCCCAAATCTTTTTAACATGACAACAATTACAGAGTAGGTGGACAATTGTTTCTAGTTCCTTTGAACAGAATGTACACAAAGGTGTGTCCTTTAGACCGATCCTATTTAAGAAAATATTTGTGTGTATAATATCATACAATATCTTCATCTGTAACCATTTCAAATTGCTACATTTTGTGGATCGTTTTGCCATCATATATATGTTTCATAGCAATGTGTTATCATACTGTGTTTCAAAGACTCTTTCCCACTTTTTATGTGCATAAGACTTATTGTAATTGGAGTCCAGTAAAGAAAGGTAGAAGGTTTTGGTGCCTTTGACCTTTAGATTAAGCTTGGATATATTAAATGGTAGTATTGGTGAGAATGGGAGTGTTTTAGGTAGAGTGATTTGTCTTCTCTTTTAGCAAGCAATTATGGAAGATTTAATACTGTGGTATCTTAAGATATTTGTTTTAACTTGATATATTTTTTGTAGTTCTTCATAAGTACAGAATTCCCCTGTGGTTGGGTTCATTAGATCATATATAAAGTGTATTCCTGCATTGTACCAATTGTTTATAAAATTTGTTTCGTTACCTATGCTAAACATATAATTAAACCAAATACATTGGTTTAACATGTCATTTGGGTTTATTATCTTATAATGCTTTTGTAAATATGATCCCCATGCAGAAATTACATCTCTCCAAAATGGATTTCTTATGTATGGTTTTACATGTATATGTTTTTCCAAATATTCAGGATCAGCTAACCAAAGTCTTCCGTAGTTAGGTATACAGTTATCCACTAATGCTTTCCATTTGCAGTTACTGGAATATAATTTTTTTATCCATGCTATTTTATGTGCATAAATATTATTCTTAATGAGTGGGACACTAATTCCTCCGTAATCAGGTGGCATAGCTAAAACGTCTCTTTTAATTTTGTCCGGTTTGTTTTTCCATACAAATTTGAAGCAGGCTTGTTGAAATTGATTTATTATTTCATCTGGGGGTGATGGAATTGAGGAAAATAAATGGTTTAATTTTGCAAGCAGTAGTGATTTCAAAACAACATTTCTACCGATTGGAGTAAGTGTTCTTATTAACCATAATTTCATTTCCTTCTCTATCTTTTTGAACTTATCATCGTAGTTCAGTTTCACCATTTTGTCAAGGTCTACATCAAACATAATACCCAGTACCTTGAAGTCACTTTGAGTCCAATCTAAGTTCCAGTCTTTACAGAGTTTGTATCTACATCTTTTCTTTGAACCTATCCAGATCAGTCTGTCTTGTCAGCATTAATTTTCAAGCCAGAAAACCTTGCAAAAAAGGATAAAATGTTCAACAAGGCATATAGACTACTCTCAGTGCTGTCTAAAGATAAAGAGGTATCGTCAGCAAATTGTGCAAGAACATATTCAATACTTCCCTTTTTAATACCTTTTAT